TATTAAATGAAGCCAGTTGTATAGTAATCCTCATAGAATCAAAAGAGATCGCAGTATCTTACAAGTGAAGGATTTTAGCATTTTCTGCGTGCTTGCCCGGACTGTTCCGGATGAGCCCTGCCAGCCTTTCGGAAGCATGTTCATAGACACAGCTTTAAAAGGGTGCTATGTTGCACTACAAATTGTCACTGAAACTGAAGCTGAACAACTCAGCAATTAATTTACTTCTAATGAATAAGAAAGGAATTAAAAGGGAGAGGTATATTGCAGCTTTTAGATAGCAGAGGGTACGATTCACTTAAGCGTAGTGTTCACTTAAGTTACAGTGGTTTGAGTGGAGGGGGAAACAGTAGTCAAATTGTTATAAAAAGGGAATGATTTCAGATGCTTTCAGTCTTGTAACTTAAATCACTATGGAAGTAGCCCTACTTTTCCTTAAATCTCCAGGGGTGCTGCAGGCGGCAGCAGTGGTGCTCGAGGAGATCAGCACTTTTGCAAGGTTGTTGCAGAAAACTGAGATGACAGATTAGCAGTGTTCAGACCACAGTTCACTCCCTTCTGGCACTTCACTCAAGCAGGGAGCAGAAACTAGTCTCCACAGAAATACAAAAAGTGAAGAAAATATATGCACCGCCTGTACAGACTCCCTTTGTGTTTTTGCTCTGTTACACCTGTTTTTAGTGCTGTTAAGCAACAGTTGTAGATTAGCCCCAAACACGAAAATTAATTTCTAAAATAGCTCTGTTTTGTAAAGTTTGATTGCAAAGGCGTATTTGTGCCAGGAGCTCCCTCTGAGGAGTAAATTGACGGTCATAATGCAGTAAAATAGCTTTTAGGGGAATTCGGTAAGCTGAGGAATGAAAACAAGCATGTGGTAAATATTTTCCTATTGCAAAGTAAAAATATTTTTATACTTTTTTCTGATTCCACCTTCAGAAAAGCAATATTAAATCAGGTTGTACACTTCCTTAAAGATTGGGGTGTGGATTCGATATCTGTTGATCTCTCAACACCTATATGGAAAGGTGGATGGATCAATACAAAGATTTGGCTTTGTGACAAGCTTCATTGAAATGGTTTTTCTAATATTCTGTGGCATCTTTCTTCTTCATTTCCTATCACTGTATAGGAAGGAGTACTGTGAGGTTGTTAAACTGTTTCACCCAAAGATAACTTTTCATAAGAAAACTTTGCATTGCAGAGTTCATTATAAAGTTACATTATAAGTGGTGGTAATAGCAGCAGTAGTTTTGAATGAGCTAAGAATCCTACCTTAAAAGATGAAGTAATTTAAGTAACTGCTGCATTTAGGGCTATTAATGATCCAGCTCTGTTTCAGCTTGTTTCCTTATGTTTCAACACAAGGAAAATGTGATGTGTTTCTTAGTAGAAATATAAAAGTTCAGGTGTTTTGTCCAGGTGATTTGAAGAACATACCAGTACAAAATAGTAAACTAAAAAACATAATTAAAACATTTTAAAATTATTTAAAACATTAAATCAGTCCGCAAGAATTGATGGTCTTAGGAGAGATCTTTGTGTGATGATATAAATAATTGCAGGAGAGTCTTTTGTGTGTATAGAGAGACAGAAAAAGGGACTTCCTTTAGTCTTTCAGTTCATGGTTTTTAGATGTCTTAAACGTTGAAGACCTAATACTTTTTGAAAGATGTGCTGTATTACAAATGTCAGAAAATTTAGGGGGAAGAAAAAGCACCTTTTCCTAGCAAGTTCAATTAATACCAAGCAGTAATGAACTACATTAAGTTTATTTCATTTGTTACCTTGTATACAGGTAAAGCACTTAAGCAAGCAGGTGGAAATAATGCAGCTGTATTTTGCTGACAGGTGTCTCTAGTTGTGACAGTTAGGAAAGTATAATAAGAGAATTGTTATTTATGATATATGTTCTGCTGTTTTCGTACATGATCTTAACCACATATGAGTGTTATTTAACTGCTTCTCAGGAATAGCAGCTGCCATTATATAAGGAGATACTTATGTGAATCAAGTGAATCCTTAGTGTAGGCCATAATGTGAAGAAATAATTTTGTTGGCTTCTTCTGTGTTTGCAGACAAATGAAGCTCTGTTTTTTTTTTTTTTTTCAGGCCCCAATTTACCTACATGAATCTTTATTTAATCATTTCAGTCCACATTACTCGTGGCTCTTTTCAGCCTCTCTTGAATTTCCGGTCAGAGTGCCATTATTACAGAGCAAAAGGCTTTGCTGGCTGCTGCCTCTGGCCCGTTTGTGCCTTGTCTTTATTGTATCTGCAGGAATTACCATTATTTCGCAACAAATCCTCACTAGTTTTTTTAAACTCTTAGTTAACACTGAAATGGTTATAAATTGGGTTAAGGATTAAGGGGCTTTCAAAGCATCCTTGTCCTGAAACAACTCTGCAGGGCATGAATAAGTAACAAATGGATTGTTTTTCAGTCAAAATGAATCAGCTGACATGAGTTTGCCTGTGAAAAGTGTAGGTCAACTTTCACAGACACCTGTAGGGGCTTGGGTTATATTTCTCTCCTGTTAAATTACATAAGAATTTAATTACTTCAAATCAATGATTATGGGCTGGATCAACATGCTCTAAAATTACAGATCATCTTGAACATTAAGAGAAACCAGGAATGTATCAGCTTCTGTGTTAGGGAGAGTGTATTTATCTAGATTTTTATAGTGTATTTTTCTTAGCATGATGCTAGGCTTATGACATAATTTCCTGAAGCCGCAGTTTAATTCTTCAGGATCTGACTATGCCATATTTTAATATAAAATGCATTAAGAAGCCTCACTGGTGTTTGCTGATTTACATTAATTTCTAGACTAGTCCAGGTCAGGAAGTTAGACCTGGATATATAAAGAAAACATCTACTGATAGAAGGTTGGGAAGAAATACTACTTCAAATTAAATTTTTAAATGTTTTCCCTTTTTCTTATATATCTGCACATGTTAAATATGCATATGGAGTTAATATTGTCAAATATGTTATAATTATACTTTGGTACAGACACCAAGTTGTAGTTTTCATAATGAATACCATGGGCATAAATGGTACTCTGATATAATAGTTAACCGTAACTTTCCAGTATCTCTGGTACTTTTCAGTGTTGGCCTGGTTCACATTTGTCTGATTGAAGGCCCATAAATGCGTGCAGTTTTTCTTATCATAATGTGATTTTAATTTAGCAGATAATAGATTTTTTTTTTAATCTTCCTTGGAAAACACTCACTTTAGAGGCCGAAGACTTTTCTTTTCACTTGTAAGCATTAGCAGGAGTTGCAGACGTGCTCAGATTAGGCGAATCCGTTCCTCCGTTGGCTGCGTCCCCGCTCCGCGCGCTGCCCTGCTCTGTCCTGCCCGCCGCACGCAGGTCGCCCGTCCGTGGGCGGCAGCGCCGCGCTCTGCTCCTGCCCGGCCTTGCAAGAGGTGCCTGAAGGGGCTCCGCTCAATGCGCCTTACGAAGTGGCCTGTACTACGGAGCTGTGTTTGCTCTTCAGCATTTGGCAAGTGTGAAACCTGAAAGTCGAGTGAGTGTTTTCACAGGAGTGTTGAGTACCTCTGTTCATGGTTTCCTGTAAATCTGTTATTTTTTGCCATCAGGAGACTTGAGGTAAGTGGGGGTCTTCAGCCTACCTAGCTTTTTGTGAACTCAGGGTGCAAATGCTTTAGTACATACCCCACTATGTGATGGTTAAAGTCTGTTTTCTGCAGTTACTCAGCGGCTTACAGGACTTCCCTATTGAGAGATTTGCAGACAGGCTGGGAAGGCAGTGAGGAAACCTGACAGCCATGAGGTCAGTCCACTAGCTTTAGTGTGTGAAAAGGTCCTGTGGTAGCACTGGTGATGATGGTTTGATATTAATCTTGAATACCTCTAAAATGTTCTGTATTATTCAACTGGTAGTGGTGGTGTTTTTTACTGGTGCTGCTATGGGAAGGAAATGAGACACCCCTAGAAACCTCTGATAGAAGCCTCTCAGCACCTTGTGCTAGTATTTCTGAAAGAGTTCGGTAACAGAGGGTGTTGGGAGATTTCCGCAGAAATTAGACAAGATAATGTGATTGTTGAAAAATTAACACAAGTCACAACTGTATGATAAAAGCTGTAAAAAGTTTTTTCAAACCATATAAAGTAAAGAGAAAAAAATAAAAGCAGCTCCCCATGCAGGACTTGGATAGATGTATGTCTCTGTTGGGAATACTTAGTCCTGTACTATTTGCCATAATTTAGAAGTTGAAGTTGCTTTAACATTGATGGTTGCTTCTAAAAAAAAATCTGGAAAAACAGCTTCAGATTCAATTTCCTGAAAGTGCAAAAGTTACACTAAGTACAGGAGGTTTGCTTGTTTTCTTGTGTTAATTCTGGTATTCTAAAAGCGTGCAAATGGCATTTGTCTTTGGATTTACAAAAACTCGAGATATTCAGAGTTTGAATTATTTAAACTCCCACAACACATGCACTTTTGCTTTTCAAGCTTGAGTTATAATTTAATTAAAAACTTCTGGTGCATTGCTAGCTATTAAATATTAAAATGTTCCATGGATCACTTTCGATTATCTACCGTCATGAAATTCCTGAAGATGTCAGATTTTTAAGATTCCCAAAGTTGCACTTGGAATTGTCTGTTGATGCAAAGGGGACTGTGATAATTACATACATCCATTAGTATCAGCAGAGGAGATAAACTTTGGGGAGGCTTAATGGGCATGTCTCAGTGACAGCTAGCAAAGAACATTTGGCATGATTAAGGATGGATTTGAATGTACTTGAAAATATACTCTCATTATGGACGCCCAGTGGAAGTTGCACTACAAATGTTAAATTCCCCAGAAGAAGAGTTGTGTGGCAGGGAAGCTTTGAAATCCTCTGTGGCCGTCATCCAAATTACTCTCTTCTCTTTGTGTCTTTCCGCTGTCAGGTTCATTTTGTGATGCCCAACTTGGCTCCCTGCATCTTTGAAGAGGCAACCTGTTGATTTCTGTGTTTCAGATTGTCCGAAGATACATCAAGGACTGGCTCGAGAGGAAGAAGCCTCCATTTGGTGCTATCAGCAGCTGCGTGCTCCTGATGATCATCTACACAACCTTCTGTGACACTTTTGCCAATCCAAATATTGACCTTGATAAATTTAGCTTGATTATCATAGTGTTTATAAGTAAGTTCAGTCTTAATGCTATCTCTTTTATCAGTTAGATGTGTGTATGTAAAGAGCATTGTGTAGGGGAGAGAGCAGAGGAAAGGGAAACCGGCTTAAGTCTAGAGCTTGCACTTTTAACATGTCTAGTAAGCCAAATGGATTACCTGGCATCCTAGGGGCTGTGTGCTTTTGGGGAGTTGTGTAGAGTGATGAACCCTGCCACTAGGTGTGCCTAGGATTGCTCAATGGTGCTTTCTTTCTAAAGGGGCCCAGTGCTGTTTTTCAGGCATTTATGAGCATGCTGCTGTGGCATCTTCCCTACTGAACAGCCAAGATGTTGCATTCCAAACAGAAAGGAAAGATTTGGGTTTGAGCTGCTACTCAGAGATATTGTTATAACTTTCAAATAGCTCTTTCTTACTCTATTACAAACCTAGAAACCAGTGGGGAATTTGAAGGTGTTGATATATTTCTGTGGATGAAGGCACTCTTTGGAGAGTTTGTTTTAGAAGCACTCTTAGTCATTCAGCCTTAAATAACACACACATGAGAACAGACTGCTGGTATCTTTGCCATCAGTTAAAATACACTTGCAGATCATTACCTCCGAGGGAAAAGCAATGGTGTTCAGGCACTGTCTTCTCTCCTGGTAAGAAATTCCTGTCTTGCTTCTGACTGTGCAGAGAAAGAAGTTTCAGTCTGCTTGGGGGAGAGGTAACTAAATTATACAAGAGTATAAATCGCATCCTGTAAGCTCCCAAACTATTAGATTTCAGGAAATCATTACATTAGCTTCCGAAACTATGTGCATGTGCACATTTGTGTCCAATAAAAATAAGTATCATACACAGATCCAACTTCCACCAGAGTCAGTAAGAAATTCGCCCCTGCCTTAGTGGGTAGTATTCTGTCTTACTTATTGTCATTGTGAAAGTTTTTTGACTATGAAATGATGAATGTGTGAAAATACTACACAGAGTTGTAAATGGTACTGCATAGCGTATGGTGAAGCTCATTTTATTCAGAAGACAAAGAACAGCAAGGCCATCTAAGGAACTTTTTCAAAATGGAGAAAATACTTGTTTGCATAGGCACCTGAAGAGGGTCCGCATCCCTGACACAGTTACGTCAGTGCCAAGTTGTAGGGGAGAAAGAAGGATGTGGAAATCTCAATCTCTGACTTACGATGCAGAGAAATCAAGAATGGAGTAATTTTATGTCACTACAGTGACCACTACTTGGAGAAAACAGGCCAAGTTGTCTTCTAAACAAACCAACAAAAAGACACATATTCTTGGACATTAGACAGTTGTCATTGGACAGCTGTAGAGGAGTTGCTCCCATATTTTTCCCTTCTTTTACTTCTCTCTAAGGCAGCTCTGCATTTGTGCCATGTGTAATTATATTGCACTTGCAATACAATACACTGAAAATCATTATATATACATTTTTATTTTAAATGTGTGTAGCTGGAGTTTCTTTTTAAGAATATTACCATAAGCTTTGAAACTGATAGGAACATATTGTACGTTTGTTTTTTGTCTAAAATATTTTATAGAACTAAAAAGAGAGTTCTGAAGATGAATGTGTGTGTTATGGTCCAGAAAAGCTTTTCTTCCATTGGATATGTTGGCTGGCTGTGTTTTCTGTTACACCAGGAGGTGAAATTAGCACAAGGAGTTTGAGATGAAACTGCATTTATTATTCTGTGGATTAATATTTTCATGTAATTCTTATGTTAGTATTCTAGACACAGCAAAATAAGCACAGTGGATAATTGATATCAACACATGCTTATTGCTCTACAGAATTATACTTATTAAGAAAGGATTTTTTTTTCTCTTTGTGCATATTAAATTAATTTACTTAGCTGCAAAAAATTGTAAGTCACTAAGAATGTTTTACTTCCGTAGCTCATGAAGGAAGTATTAATTGCATGCTGAGGTGACATTTATGCATCTTTGGAAAAGCATATAAGAGAACAGAAAATGTCACTGGCAATAGTTAATAACTATACCTTGGTGCCTGGTTAAAAACTGCAGTCACATCCAAAGTATTGGCTTGGTGAGCATTACCCTGCGGGGCACATCAGCCTCAGCGCGTGCACAGATTGGGCAAGGAAAGGGGCAAGGAGCCACACCAGGTTCTGCCTCTTCCCCTGGTCTCGTTGCCCGTCCCTCCACCAGCACCGTGCGGACACCGCGTGTCCCAGAAGCCCTGCAGGTATCACATGAGCTGGCAGAGGGGAGAGCTGCCCTCAGGCTCCACAAAAACATCCACACATAAAGTTCATTGAGCTTGAACAGCTGCTGTGTCTGATGTACACAGGAATTAGCCTTTGTCTCTGAGGGAATTAAATGTATATGATTACCTTCTGTTAATAGTAATTATTCATCAGGAGAGGAGTATACCCCACATGTGAGAATATTTATTGTAATCATGCCTACACATTGTGCTTTCATTCTGTTAAGTAAAAATGGGCTAAACTGAAATATCTAGCAGCTAGAACGTGTCCAAGAGATCTTATGTCATCAACCTAATAAGCAAAATGAGAGAAATGGGCAGGCAGCACCTAGCAGTCAACTGCTCTGCTTTTACTGGGTCAAGGAATACTTGATTCAGAGGAGTTACCTGAGGAAAATCCTGCGTAGCAGTGGTAGTAGATCTGGCTTTCTTGGGAATATAATTGTTAATAATTGTGCTTTCAGACTTAATTGTCCAAATTACCACCATCTAAAGTCTTCATGGTTTTCTGTCATTGGATTTCTCTGAATTGTCTTGGTTCAACTTAACATCAGCAGTTTAGGCTTCTCACCTTTAGTATGGGTGCAAAATACATGCATATTGCACACATAGAGATGTCAGTGATCTTTTCTTTTGTGATGTAAGTTTAATTTTAATTTGTTTCTCTTCTCTTGTCAGTATTTTCTGTTCAACTGAGCTTCATGTTCTTGACTTTCCTCTTCTCTACAAGGTAATCGAATGTACTGAAACAGAGTGTTTGAATGTTTGTTATATGTGGTATTTTTGTTTTGCGTGATTCAGTTTATACAGATGCATAAGGGCAGGTTTCTGGATAGGGGTGACCTCATTTTAATGTTCTTTTTATCTTTACTGCATTTTTTTTTCTGTTAGCATTTCATAGGCTAACAGAGCAGGACCTGGATTCTGTCCCTTCTTGTATGTTAATTACAGCGTTGTTAAATCTCAATCAATCACTGCTATAACTCATCCTCTGAAAAAAATGGATTTGCACAGATGTCACTGAAGGTATAATTTGCCCTGCTGACATACAGGTGACATATGAGAGAGAGAACTCAGTTTGACTTTTTACATCTCAAGATACATTTGCTGGCCTTCAGTCGTCTTTGTATGCGTCAAGTGTGTTACATTTATGGAGTTTCTTAAAGGATAGTTGTCCTGAACAAATGTTTGGTAAAGGTGTTGTTTCCTTTTAAAGTATAGACCAGGAAGAACTATTGGCCATTCATGCCTCAAAAGGTAGGCCAGTGAGAATGACTTACTGTTGCGTAATCACTTTTCTACCTTTGGCCTTGGCATTAGCCAAAGGCAGAGTGAGTCGCTCGCGCAAGTATCTGCCATCGTGCTCCAGCTCAGGCTTGCTGGAGGATTTCCCGTAGCAGCACTCTTCCCTTAGCCTGGGAAGTGCTAGAATACACAGCAGACTCCAGATGTATATTTAATATAAATTACCCAATGCCTGTAAAGAATTATTACAAAGGATTTGTCCCAATCACAGAACCCCAAATGCCCCAAGTAATAGCCAGTTCAAACAGTATAATCAATATTTTAGAAAGTTATTCCTAATTTTGACCACGGTCATCCATTGGGCAGTAATGTGCTACTCTATGTAATTTTCTACCCTTCCCTTTTCACCCACAACATGTAAGCCTCAGAAATAGTTTCTTGGTCAAGCAGATACAGAAAACTGCGTATTCTAAGTACTTCTCGTAGTGTAGACTAAATATATTATGTCAATGAAGCATTTTTGTTAATATTAAGCAGTAGGAAAAGAAATTACAGGACATTCTCTCTCTCTCTTTTTTTTTTTTTTTTCACAGTGGCAAACTGGCCACTGGCATGTTGTTGAATGTTTGCAAAAGTAACTCCGGCTGGAATAAAGTTGTCCTACATACAGCATGCTCAGAATAGTTCCTTTTCATGAAGGAGTGTATTCATTAGAGAGTTTGCCACAACCAAGAAACAATTCTGCTTAAAAAAAAAAAATCAAACACTACTGTTCATTTGCGGGTAGAATTATTTCTGGCACTAGAATTGATCAAAGGGATGTAAAGTTGCATATGGATCCTCAAAGTAATACATTTGATTGAAGATGTTTTAGGAAGGCTTTTGCTAACAGAGGTTATTAAAACTCTCTCTTTTTAGGAATAATTCTGGTTTCACAGCAGCAGACACAGTGGCTATCATCTTCTGCTCCACACACAAATCCCTCACCCTGGGTAAGTTAGGAGAGGAGAGCAAGATATTAATGTTTTCACGTAGGGGAATTAAATTAAAGGGGAGACAACATGGTCTTTTCAGCTGAGACTGCAATGATTATATGGTAAGACCATCTCACTTAGGGTTTTTTTTTTTTATGTTTTTGTTCCGTTGCTTCACCCAGTACTAATAATATTTGCCATTTGTTCCTGAGAACAATTTAAGGTATATATGCATAGTCCCACAGTAAAGATATTATATCTCAAAACCAGTTTGAAAAAGAGAAAATCAAAACATATAGTCTCTTCAGAAATCACAAAGAAGCAGTGCTGTCTTCTGCTTAGTATGAGCAAAATGTGCATGTTTGTTATAAGAAGCCTGCAGTTTCTTGTTTTGTTTCTTTTTTGGCAGTGTTTTATTTATTAGAATTCATTTATCAAAACATTATTGAGATATTTGTCGCTTAAAATCCCTTAGTGATAATAAGATGTTCTGATGGAAATTCACAGAATAGCACTAAATCAGAGTCCCGTTTAGAGTCACCTGATAGTGCTTCATCCCTGTTGCGTTCTGTCAGTGTAAGGATTCCAACTTGAACATTTTCTTACTGTTTTTCGTGTTATGAAAACATGTGTCTGGTAAAGCATATAGGACAATATTAGCCTTTTCAAAGCTCTGTGGTTGTACCTGTCAAAGATTAACACAGCTGGTGCTAATAACAAAGAAGGTAAGAACTCAGCTTGAAATAGGGGCAGAATGACTCAGGGAGTACTTAGAAAGGTGTGATGTTTTCAAGTCAGCTTAATCTGGTAAAACTCATCTCAGGGTTCTATGCTACAGCCAGTCCCGTGCTGCCAAATTATTAGCAAGTACCTCGAAAATCTGTGGGAAGGAGGGTAGTTCCTGGAAGACAAGAAAAGGGCGAACCACGGCTTCCTTTTTTCAAAAGGCTATCAAGGAGAGAAATTACAAACCAATGAGTTTAACTTTGCTTGCCAGAAAACTACTGAAATAAATAATTTAAAAGTGCAGGAGAAAATAAATGGGTGACAGTCCCATAGATTTGTCAAATGTGTATCAAGTCAGTCTAGTTTCCTGTCACACAAGGTTATGAGGTCCTGAGGGTTGGGGAGAAGTAGCAAAAGTTGTATGGCTTGACAGTACTATATTTTTTGATGCTGCTGTATGACGTTTGGACAGTTCAAAAATGATGTGAACCAACTGGAAGGGGATCAGAAGAAAGTGACATGGATGACCATAGATCTCAAAAACGTGATCCATGGGAAAGAAATAAAGAATTGGGATTAGTGAGAGAACTCTGAGCTCAGATACAGTAGTGATTTTAAAATGCATAAAAGGTTGATGCAAAGTAGAAATTACCTTTTTCACAATGGATTTTATAAAGGAAAGGACTTTTACTGCAACAAGGAGGATTTAAACTATCAATCAGGAAAACCTGTCTTATGTGAAGACAGTTGAGCTTTCGAATATGTTGCCTACTGATGTCTTGGAATCTCATCATTGTAGACAAGTCTCAGTCAGGAGTTAGACAGCTCAACTTGGCCCTGCCTTGGAGGAGAAAGTGCTTTCCAGTCATGTGTGCTATGAAACCAAGGCCTCAAAAAATAAAGGAACTTGTATCAGGAGGACAGTTATATTTGTGTTTATAGAAAGTGACCCCCCACCTAAGTCATAGCATGCTACCATACCTGCCATTTTACTGATGTGCATATAAACCTAGGACACAACTGAGATGCTACAGAGCAGGAGCTGGTTATATTTTACAGTATCCTTCCCTCCTAATGAAAATAGTTTTATACACGTTCTGTGAAAGACTTTTATCATGACACTCAGAAAAGAACTATGTTTACTTTAATATTTAAGTCTTGAAGGGGCTTGCTTTCACCTGGTGAAAAGTGAGGGCTTTTGGTCTCTTTCATCTGCTCTGCCAAAGCATCCTCCCATAGCTCATCTTGACCTGAGTTCTGCACACCCAGCTGAATCAGTGCACTTCTATTCTGCTAGCACACGCTCTTTTTTATAACTTGCTTTCTCATTGATAAGAGCCCAGTTCCATGTCCATAGCTTGCTTGGCTTTTCTGCAGGATTTTTCCCAAGTTGCTGCTGTTGTTAGCACAGTCTCGTTAATCGGATCTGTGTTGTATTTTGTAAAATTCTTTCCCCAAGTGCACTGACAATAATACATTACCCACCTTGACTTCAGGTATTTCTACAGCTTCTCTCTGGCTGTGCATGCTTTTACTCTGCTAATACGGGTCTCTCTCCAACATTTAAGTGTGCAAACTAAAATGAAAGAGGTTGATGATAGAGTGCAATATTGCAGCACTGTTTCTTGTCTACAGACTTTCCTTTTGTCACCTTCAGGTCAGACTGCTTTACCTTCATCCTTCAAGAGCTGGTGCCTCTTGGAAGGCAATTTGCCTCCCAGAAGGCAGGTTACCAGACATCTGTCACTCTTGTACTTTTTCTCTTTTGCACTACCTTTCCTTAATTCCCAGTGCCTGCGTTCAGATTCCTGAGAGGATGGGCCTGCTTCCCTTGCTGTTTTCCCTCTCTGGGGTTAAGCTTCATCAAAGCGTTTTTGAGGCTTCCAGACTACTGCTTTGTGTGGGTGGCCAGCAGCAGCACGCCCTGAATTCGTATCACCCTTGATGGGAAATGCTCTTTGTGGCAGTCCCTGGGAACACGTCTTTGGCAAGCCTGAGGGCCCAGCCACTCTTGTGTGTGCTACATAAGCATGCCCACTGTTTTGAGCTGGTTGGTTTTGAGGTCATCAGTATTTTTCTCTGCTTGGTACTTAAAATTACTGGGTCCATATAGGATAGAACTGCATAAATATACACTGCTATCTAAATGTGTAGCTGAATGCAGCATACTAGGAAGAGGGGAGAGCTGGTTTTATAAAACTGTTTGCCTTTGAATTGATAGTATAAATGGGAATTGGAATTATTAATCAGAGCAACTAGCACATGTTCTTTCACTGGAGGTGGAAGCAGAGTAGATATAATTTGTTTTTAAGGAGCAGCTATTTCTAAATGACAGTTGAATGTATGTGCAGCATAGTCTTGTCTGCCCTGATCTCAGTGGAAATAAGAAGAGACACAGGTATTTTGCCCCTTACCGTTTTTGTTGTTCTGTCACATTTCTCCTTGTTCAGAGGTGTTTACTGTAATCCATGCAAGGAGAAAGCTGCTGTTCTCCCACAGCGCAGAGAGTTTTTGCTCTCTCTGTCACGACAATGCCCAAAAGCACAAACCGTGCAGGCCTTGGTTTCGTACCCGTTGTAGAGATCCACTTTGTTTGTCTCCAAGATTGCCATGGTAGTACATAAATGACCCCCCAATGCTTCTTCCTGCACTGTGGAATTGATTTCTCTTGACTTGGCAAGTGAAGCTCCGATAGGTACGTCTGGTCCATTCCCTGCGGGACGCAGAGTGGCACGGACAAAAGTGGGAGAAGCGCTGACAGCTTTAAAGCTTTAGAAGTGGTAATAGGAGAGGCATGAGAAGACTTTTATAAGTCACTTTCTCCCACACCATATTATGAAGCCAACTAATTCCCATGCAGTGCATGCTCATGAGGCCAACTGCCACTTCTACTGTTGAATCCATGAATAAGTGCTTGCTCTGCACAGAGATGAGTGCTGTTCCCATATGCTGGGTTTTATTTTGTAGACAGAACAGTTGACACACTTTTTGTCTCACAGATCAGAGTGCAGGGCATGTTGGTGTAAAGACAAATTATGCAGGGTAGGTACCTTTGTGTTTCTCATTTAGAATTTTAAGTTAGTATTTTTGAATAGTGATGGGTGCTTTGGCAGTTTTTAAATACATTTCATATGTAGAAAAATAATGTTTGTTTATATTTCATTTAGCAAGTGGAACAAGATGTAAACTTAAAAGTAGTGAGGATAAATGTAGTATGCACAATGCCCCCGGCATATTCACCCACACTTTGTTCTTTTTCTCTCCTTCTCCTTGTTCACATATATGCACAGTACATGTGAGCGCACACATATGCAGACATTTGATGCATGGCTTTTATTAGTGCATTTGCCATTGATTGATTAGTACTTAGTATTAGTACTTCTTCTATTGATTGATTGCAGATGAAGTGACTATTTGACCTTTAATTATGAGCCTTGCTATTGAAAATGACATTGAGCTATGGCTTCACATAATCCATCTGGAAAGCCCGACATGATGCCATTCCCTGGAGTTCATTCAGTGAGAAAAGAAGAGGCCTCAAGGAAGTGCAAAGCTATCAGTGTGGTTCATCTAAAAAAAATACTGCAGAGTTGTTGCTTGCACTTACACAAAAGTTGGGGCCAAGCATGCAACGCTGTTTTATTTTTTGTAGATTGAATTGCTATCTAGAAGTTACAACTGAAATTTAAAATGCAGCGTTGTCAAAAAATAATTTTACTGCAGATCTTTGTATTTATTATGTAAAAATATTTTACCAGCAGAAAATGGATTATTGCGACCTATTTTGGCTACCATAAGTGCAAATATCAGCACTGTGAGTATAATGGACGGCAGTTTTTGTAATTTTTTTTTTAGAAAAAAAAAACTTATGAAATTAGTGTATTGTTTGTGATGCACAGTGCATTTTTCTTCATTTGGATTTAAGAATATAGTAGTTCTTCTATCATCCAGTTCTTAAAGAAAAGCAATCAAAGCTTCTAGTGTGCAAAATACTTTCAGAAAAGGATTATTTTTGCAAATAAAAGCAAAGTCAAAGCTCTAACTTTCCTTTAAAATATGTGTATTAATTTCAGTCAGCATTTTTTTTAATTGATCTTCTTATTGCATGAATGCAGCAGGTATAGCTTATACCTGAACAATTCTTAAAAGCCTGGTGTAATGCACAAGTGGATTCACAGACAACTCTTATTTTCTGCAGGCAGATCATTTAGGCCACAGATTTATCAGCTCTTTCTTTCTTTCTTTCCCTGAGATCTCCAGCTGCATATTGCTTCTCATGCTCACAAAAACAT